GAAAAGCACATTGTCTGTTCAAAAGTTAAAACAATTCAGCGACTGAACTATTTCATATCAACAAAATAATCAAATACTGACTTTCACAATTACATATTACTGACACGGGGCCTGTGGAAAGAGAAAGCATTTTCTCTCTTCGTTTTACTTATTTGCGTAATTGGAAACCAAGATTTTAGAGAGTTTACTTTCTTAATTGTGGGTTGGATGGGTGAGGAAAAGGGCCGAGAAGCTGGTCCCCGTGGGGTGAGGGCGAGGGCCACACGCTGGAAGGCGCCGGCGTCTAGCTCCACGTTCTCAGTGACTGGAGGGGCCAGGCGAACGCAGCTGGGGAAATCTGGGGATACGGCTGGGCAGCGGGCTGGGGACTGCGCTCCACATGCCCCCCGGTGTTGGCACAGGGGCTCAAGAACGTGGAGAAGCATGGATACTTGCTTTTAAGTGTTAGATGCCGCTCTGCTTTGGTTTCCCGCCACGATGCTTCCCTGTAGGGCAGCTCCAGCCCCTTCCCTCCCTCCTCACCCCAGCACCCAACCTCCTGGCCGCTGAGAAAGGAAACCCAGAAGTACTCAAAGATCTGACCGTGAGGTGGGCAAGGACATCCCGTTGAACTGGCGCATCCTTCCGGTTCGGTTCTTGGAGTGCGGCGGGCGGGGCCGGGCGGGGCCAGACGGCAGGGGTGGAGTGGGGTGGGGTGGGCTCTGGGGCCGCACCCGGCACTAACCCCAGGAGCCAAGGCTGCAGGGGAGGACTGCCAAGTGTCCTGTGATGCCAAGCCCAGCGTGAGGCTGCTTGGGGAGCAGACCTGGTGGCCAGGCTCCCACCCGGCCCTGCCTTTGCCCACCCCTTCGGTTAGGGAAGGGGACCCCCCAGTCCAGGACCAGGGTGGCTGCCCGCACTGTTTCTTGACTGTGAGCGAACCCTGAGACAGAGAAGGAGGGCAGGGGCCATAGGGCCGGGGCTCCCTGTGGCCCTCAGCAGCTCCTGATGCCGTGGGACCCCATCTCCCACATTCCCATCGGTCTAACAGACTAAGCTTCTTCACCTCCAATCCCAGTTTTACCAAACCCATTGATCCGTGCCTTACAGCCCTGTCGTGGGACAGGGGCATGAGATGGAGGGACACGGCGCTTGCGCGCAGGAGACACTGCCTACAAAGAGATGTAGAGGGAGGGCACCCACCTCGTCCCTCCCTGGAGGTGGCAGGAGGCCCAGGGCCTTGCTCTCAGCTGTGAGCTGAAGGTGGGCTCGCTCCTGTGGCTTCCAGACCCTCAGGCAAGCATGGCTGGTTGACGCGAAATAGCCATCCTCCCTTTGTTCTCTGGTAACGGAACCTGATCTTGGCTGGCAAATTGTATTTCCTGTCTCCTTGTGGCCTGGCGTGGTCACGTAACCAGGTTCTGGCCAACAAGGGGTGAGTGACGGGGTGTCCTGGAAGGGATGCTTCTTAGAAGGGACCAGCCGTCCTCCTTCTGCTTCCGGTTTCCATTGTTGGGAATAGGGGCCTGATGACTGGCACCTGTGCAACCCCCTGGGGCCACGAGGTGGTGCAAGAAGGACCACAGAGGAGAAGAGGAAATGAGAACAGGGATCCCTGGTGATCACGGGGGCCATCGCCCCTGCCTCTGAACGTCCATGTGAGCGTGAACATCAGTGGGGTCGAAGCCACCAGTCCGCTGTCAGAAGCAGGCTCCTAGGTGCGCTCGGGAGCACGGACCTGGGGTGGGGTGCTGCTGGTCAGCAAGAGCGCAGCCGCGGGATGAGGCTTCAGCGGGAGCCGGGCTCCTGTCTGCTTGTGTGGTGGCGCGTGCTCGGTCATGGGAGGGCGTCCAATGGCACCTGTGACCTGGGGTTGAGAGGGAAACCCTGGGCTTGGAGGCTGTGTGCTGGGAGAACATTTCAGTGGAACCCCTGCTCGGGAACACAGGAAGTGGCTTCCAGAGGGACAGTCACCTGGGAGATGTTCTGCCCCAGTCTATTTTAGGCGTGTATCGACTGGTCTCTCGGCCTGAAACCCTCCGGGCTGTGGTCTCTGCCCTGCACTTTGGAGGCCTGTCCATGTGTCCTGGCTGCAGGCCACCAGTGGTTGCTCCTCAAGACTGTCAAATGCAGACCTGGTGGCCAGCGCCCACGGCGGCCTCAGCAGGTGCCACCCTCCCCACCCCGAGGCCGGCGCACGTGGCTGTCGCCCAGGTAGGCAGACGCAGTAACTCTTGGCTGGAACTCCTGGCTCGCTGCAGGCTTGAACGGGGCTCAGGGGTCCTTGGCGAAGGTCTGGCAGAAGGAAGAGAGGCGGGATCCAGGAGCCATGCGAGGAAGCGCTGCGCCAGGCCCGCGATAAGCGTGAGAACGACACGGTTTATGGTTTGGCTTTGAGAATAGACGTTCACTCGTCCGAGGGAAAGATTCCTGACATGTTCCCCGTATGCATGGGGGCTGCCATGGAATGTCACACATTTTGCTGTCTTTTAGGATAAGGGATACAGAGAACTTACAAATTAAAGATATCTGTTCCCATATAGTCACAGAATAAGCCACTTCATTAAAAAGAGAGAGAGAGAGAGAGAGAGAGAGAGAGAGAGAGAGAGAAAGCCTTGCCTGCTTTCCACCCAAGCAGTTCTGGGTCTCCCTGGGGCCGTTTCTGGGTTTTTCTCGCTGGCACAAGTGTCTCGCGCACTGCTGGGCTGCCCCACGGCTGAAGCCTCCTCGACTCCACACAGCAAGCTCCCTCGGTTAAGCTATTGTTATCTGGGGTTTTCTCTTGCTTATGGTTGATCCTATCGTACCCGTGGCAGAGCTGACATTTGCAATGGTTTCATCCCCTCTTGGCAGAAGGCACCAGAGGACAGACGGCCAGCCCACGTGTCCATGACCCAGAGCAGACCCAGGCTCCTGCCAACATGTCCGGAGGCTTGGGCGCCGGCTGGGTGAGGGGTGCTCTGGGGCAGCTGTGGGGACAGAACGCTCAGTGTGAATGTCCTCCAGAGTGTTCAGGGGTGGACTGGTCCCCATGAGAGGAGCAGAAGCACAGGGGACCCTGACTGGCCCCCGGGGCAGGTGTGTGCGTCGCTAGCGTGCCACCCTGTGAGGGGACAGGACAGGGTCACCATGGGGTTGGCAATCTTGGGGGCAGAGGCCGCTTGTCATTTTACAGAAGAGGAGGCCTGCACAGAGAGGCTCAGCCATAAAAGGGCAGAGAAGCAGCAGCCCCACGTCTGGCGTCAGCCCCCAGACGCACCTGGCCAAGGACCGGGCGCCCTGGGTTCGGCTGCAGAACTTCCAACAGGCAGCTGGGATGCCTGCAGAGCTCAGACCTGAGTGCTGAGTGTTCTCACAAAACCAAAGGCATGTTCCCCCTGGTCTCCCCAAAGATAATTTTCTGCGGCGCCATACCCCCATCCTAGCAAAGCTAGAAACATCTCTGAACGTGTTGGCAGCCTGAGAGCAGCCCTGCAAGCATGGGGTGAGGCCTGCTCCCCGAGCGGTGAGCCCCCAGACCTGCACAGCGGGCCGGGCCCAGGCCGCCTGCACCAAACATCAAGGAGCAGACGCGGCCCCACTTTCCGGGCCTGGTTTCCACGGAGACCTCATTACAGGCTCTGAAATCCCTCCCGGTGGAAGGCGTGGCGCCCAGAAGAGTGTTTTTACACGGAAATATGAGAACTCTTCTGCCCTGCAGTGTAAAATTGCTTCTATAAACTGGGCTGGAAGCAGATGAGGGGTTGTGGTCAGGCCCCCCAGGGCTCCACCCCACGAGCCTCAAGGGCCCCTGCCTGCCCCTGAGGCATGGGGCTCCCCCCAGCGAGGGCCCAGGCCCGGGTCTAGCCATGGGCCTTGTCGCAGCACTCCGGGTCTGCCTGTCCTGCTCTGTGACTCAGAAGCACCCGTCTGCGGTGTCCACGGCTGGAATCCTAACTGTGGGGACAGCCCCCTCTTCAAAGGGTCGAGGAGAGCGTGAACGCCCCCACAGCTAACGTGCACGTGAATTTGCCCGATGGGGACCCCTGAGCCCCGTTTACTGAGCTTGCCGTGGTCCCCAAGTATCTGGTGCAGCTGCTTCCTGTGGCAATGGCGGGCACAGGGGACCAGGCAGGATCCCATGGCCATGCTCGGCTGGGCCGCCTCGGGTAATGCAAATGCTCCCTCCAGTAAGATGAAGGCCGTATGACTGACGGATCAGGCTGTGTGGGAGGAGTCACGGCCCCGGACACAGTGAACTGCAGAGATGAAACTTTGATTTACCTCCTGAGCACTTGCTTTCCAGGAGTCATTCCGGAATAATCCATGGAAAGGCCAGGCCAGGCACTCCACGGCAGCAGGTTTTCAGGCACCAAGAGCCAAGTGCATGTGGAGATGCTGTGTGCTCTGGGCAGACGTGGAAGCAGCCGGAAAACCAGGTGAACCCGCATGACCATTAGGGCTGCATATGGCGGCTGACTTCAGCAGGTGGGGGCCCCGAGGGCCGGCCCCTACACTCGGGGGTCCTGTCCAGGCTGACCACAGGCCTCCTGGTGACCGTGGCCTTGGTGGGTTTGCCTCTGGGCCTGGCCCTCAGTCTGACAGATGCAGAAACAACCTTGAGACCATCAGCCCAGGCTGCATTCTCCCACCAGGCTCCTGGAGCACGAACAAACCACCTGACTTTACACCGACGGTGATCACCAGACATGCCCGTGGAGAGTGCAGGACGGTCACTGCAGGGGGGCCCCCGGGACCCCTTGTCCCCCACCGCACCGTGGACACTGGGTTTGCACCTGAGGGGCCTAGATGCCCAGGACAGGTAGCTCCTAGCCTGCCTTTCAGCCCACAGCCTTGGAGACTGGCCTTGCAGAGGAGAGGCCCGGCACTATCTTCCTGGGGTGTCCTGTCTCCTCCAGGGTCACCTGGCTCCTCTAGGCTTTATTTTCCTCCTGCCCAGGTTCCGGGGCACCCGCTGTTGCCCCACATGCCCCTAAGGGCTCATGCCACCTACCACCAACCAGGTGGCTAACTCCACTCACCAGGAAGGCCACTGAGCATGTCCCTCTGGCCCCAAGAGGTGTCTGATGGCAGCGCTGGCTCCAGGTCCCCCGTGAGGAGAGGCGGATCTCTGGCACTTTCCAGGGCAGCTCTGGGCTCCAGGCCCCCGGACTTGGGACTCCACAGAGGATAGGCAATGCAGTCAAACCCACTACAAAGGGAATGGGTGGGACTGGGCTTTGCTGGACGCCAAGCGGAGGGTGACACCTGGCTGTAGGGACTCGGTGGCCTAGGGGCCCTTCTGGGGAGGAGGAGGAGCTGAGGCAACCCTCCTGAGACTAAGAGAGCGGGCAGGAGGGAGGGAAGGAGGGGCAGAGGGTCTTCCTCTGGGACCACATGCACCCTGCTGCGGCCCCAGCCCTCCCACCCCCGGCTCCCTGCCCGGCCCCCACTGCCTGAAGGTGCCTTTGCTTCTTCTCCACTAGACTGAGCATATCATGTCTGGCGCTCACTGCTGGGTGCCCAGTGCCCTCGGGTCCTGGCTGGTGTGGGAGCCATGTGGAGATGGGTCTGGGTAGAGCAGTTCTGGGCCATCCCTCCTTGTCCCCCAGGACACACGGGTGATGTCCAGGGTCGCCCATACTCACAACGGGGTCTGGATGGGTGGCTCTCGGTTGTCCTTGTCCATTTTGAAGAAGCTGACCTCTGAGTAGGCCGGGAGCTGCACATACCTGATGCCGGCTGAGATCTTCAAAACCCGGCCATCCTCGCCTTGGAAAGGAGAGAGAAGCAGGCTGTGCCAAGGAATGGCCACCAGAAACCAGGTCTCTCCCTCCCTGGTCCTGGCCTGGGCACCTGTGAGGAGCACTCAGGAGCAATGCTGGCCCAGGCCACAGCTACATTCAACTTGAGCTCCCTGACCCCCTTCCTGGCCTCCCTGCCCCGATTCTTCCACCCCTCGCTGGGGAGCCTGGGCCTCAGGGTTAGGGTTAGGGCCCAACCTAGCTGTGCCCCTGGGAGGGCCTCTCCTCGTTGGCTGTCCTCAGGGCTTCACCTGCTCAGGGGCATGTGGGTGCCCTGGCCGGGAGCAAACACACTGGAGTTTTGTCTCCACCATGATCCTGCCTCCAGGGAGACATTGCTGCTTGTTACCCATCTCCCACCTCTGTCCCCCTTGTGTACACTCCCGAGGCACTCAGCACAGGGCCTGGTCATGTGGACTCTGGGTCCAATGCAGGAGGACAGCCAAGAACCACTGAGCAGTATCAGTGAAGGCCCGTCGTCCAGCCCCTGTGGAAGAGGAGACGTGGCAGGGCAGACACTGCAAACACTCAGACTTGGAAGGAAAGGAGTAGAGAGCCACGGCCCACTGGGGTTTGATCGGCCTCTACTTCTGGTCACCACAGAGTACCTGGAACCAATTCATGCTCCTACTTGAAGCAACCAAAAAAGCAGACAAAATATAATAATAATACAATGGTTTTCAAGATCCTGGACCTCAGGCAAGGACAGAGGCCCCTGAGAGATGGGGGACAGCTGGCGTGGACTCCGTAACTGCCCAGGTCACTAGCTTGAGAGAAGGTGGACTGGGTGCAGGGAGAGGGACTGGGCAAGCCCAGGAGCCTCCTCAGTGAGGAAACAGGGCCAGGAGGCCGGGAGGACAGGCACATAGTAGGAGTCCCGGAGTCCTGAAGGCAGAGGAACAGAGAGGTGCGGGGCCCCTGGGGACACAGCAGAGCACAGATCAGTGCACAAGTGCGAAGAAATGCCCGGAGGCCAGGCTAAGCGCCACACGAGAGGGTGGGAGGGGCCTGGGCTTGTATGGGACTGGGAGTAGTGCTCACTCCCGTTGGCCACACTGGATGCCACGGCACACTGGACAAAGCTCTCAGAAGGTCTTGCTTCAACAATGGGGATAATGGCTCTCAGGCGGAGCTCACCTAACACATCATAAAGGCAAAACCTGAAAGGATCAAATTGTCTCTGTGTCAACTGTGCCCCAGAACAAAGTCCAACAAGAGTTATGGGAACACAGAAATACCCAGCCCCCAAATGGTAAAATTCTCAATGTCTGGCACTAATCAAAGATTACCAGGCAAAGAACGCAGAAAAGTATGGTCCATAATGAGAAGCAACCAACTGAAACCAACCCAGAACTGACCCAGATGTGAGAATTAGCAGGAAAGCACACTTTTTCAAAGTTTTTATAACTGTATTCCATGTGTTCAAAACATAAGTAGGGACACAGAAGATATAAAAACAAAGTTGAACTTCTAGAAACAAAAACTGTGAGAAAAAATATACTGTATGTGGTCAATGACAGATTAGATATTGCAGAAAAAAAGATTCATGAACTTGAAAATATACCTATAGAAAGTACCCAAAATGAAACACCAAGAGGAAAAAGGAAAAAAAAAGAAGAAAAATGAAGGTAAAGAGAAAGGGGGGAGGAAGGGGAAAAAGAATCAATGAACAGTGGGGCAAATTCAATCGCCCTAATCCATGGATAATGGGGCCCCTAAAAGAGGGGAGGAAGAAGTTGTGATGGAAAAACTATTTGAAGAAATAAAGGCTGAAAATCCTCCCATTTTAAAAAGATTTATTTATTTATTAGAGGGGGAGAGAGCAGGAGCACGCGAGCCAGGGGCAGGGGGAGGGGCAGAGGGAGAGGGAGAGAATCCCAAGCAGACTCCTTGCTGAATGCAGAGCCCAACACAGGCTCAATCTCACGACCCTGAGATCATGACCTGAGCTGAAATCAAGAGTTGACGCTTAACCAACTAAGCTACCCAGGCACCACCTTCCTTTTTTAAAAGATTTATTTATTTAGAAAAATTCCCAAACTTGATGAAAACTATAAACCCACAGATCCAAGAAGATCAATAGATCCCAAGCACAAGAAACATGAAGAAAACCACACCATGTCACATCAAAAATAAAACTACTCAAACCAGTGATAAATAGAAAATCTTAAAAGCAGCCACAGAAAGAGCATGTTTGGATAAGGATGACACCAGACCTCTCATCGGAAGTAGTACAGACAAGAAGACAACGGAGCAGCACCGCTGTACTGCTGGGATGACCCAGAATTCTATACTAGGTAAAAAAATATCTATGAAAAATGAAAGCAAAATCAAGATGTTTCCAGATACATGAATACTGAAAGAATTAATCTCCAGCAAGCATGTAGGACAAAAAATGTTAAAGGTTAAGTCCTTCAGGCAGAAGGAAAATGGTATCAGGTGGAAATCTGTATCTACAGAAAGGAATGGGGAGAACTAGAAATGGAAACTATGGGGGTAAGAGATGGGATTTCCTTTTCTACTTGTTAAGTATTCTTTGAAAGATAAATGACTATTTAAACAAAAGTAATAATTATGAAGTGTATTCAATATTTGAACGTCAAACGTATAAAAACATTAGCATAAAGCTTGGAATTGTAGAAAAAGAAGTATATATTATTGTAAAGTTCTTATATTATATGTGAAGTAGTGTGGTATCACTCAAAAGCAGACTGCGATAAATTAAAGATGTATACTGTAAACCTTAAAGTAACCCCTAAAATAAGAAAACAAAGGGCAATAATGAATAAGCCACCAGAGGAGATAGGATGGAATCACAAACAATACTCAATCCACAAAAGGTAGGAATAGAATCTAAAGAGGAAAACACAGCGGTGGCAGATAGAAAACAAACAGTGAAATGGTAAGTTTGAAACTGTTATATCAATAATTATATTAAATGTGAACGGTGTAGGGTGCTTGGGTGGCTCAGTCGGTTAAGCATCTGCCTTCGGCTCAGGTCATGATCTCAGGGTCCCGGGATGGAGCCCTTGTCTGGCTCCCTGCTCAGTGGGGAGTTTGCTTCTTCCTTCCCCACTTCCCCCTCCCCGGCTTGTGTGCTCTCTCGCTCTCTCAAATAAATAAATAAATAAAATTAAAAAAACCCCAAATAAATGTGAATGGTGTAAAAACTTCAAAGATAGATGTGGTTAGATTGGATGAAAAGGCAAGACCCAACTATATGTTGCCTACAAAAAGCACACTTTAAATATAGACTTAAGTAGGTGAGAAGGAAAAGTATGGATAAAGATACACAATGCTGATATTAGTTAGGAGAGAGCCGGAGTGACTATGTTAATATTATAGGAAGTAGTTGCCAGAGCAATGACTACGCCGGGGATGAAAAAGAAAATACTGCAGTGATAAGGGGTCAACTCATTAAATGACATAAAAATCTGAGATTTCAATATACCACTGTCAGTAACTGATAGAACAAGCAGACAAAAAATCAGCAAGCATATGCTAAACTTGAAGGGTAGTATCAATAAAATACACCCGATTGATATTTATAGAATATTCTATCCAACAAAAGGAGAAATCATAATTCTTCTCAAAGTACACACACAACACTTACCAAAATGGTACAAATTCTATGAAAAAAGTCTCAATACATTTAAAGGGACAGTAGATATACAAAGAGTGACTCCAACCACATGGAATTAAGTTAGAAGTTAATTACAGAAAGATCTCTGGAAAATCTCCAAGTATTTGGAAATGAAACAACACACTTCTAAATAACTCATGGGTCATCAAAGGAAATCAAAAGGGAAATTAGAAAGCATTTTGAATTGAATGAAAATGAATACACAACTTATCAAAATTTCCAGGATACAGCTAAAGCAGAACTAAGGGGGAAATTTATAGCAATAAACTCTTGTATTAGTAAAGAAAGGTCTGAAATAAACGACCTTGGTTTCCATTTTAAAAACGAAAAGAAAAACAAAAAAGAGAGAGAGCAAATTAAACCCAAAGTAAGCAGAAGCAAGGAAATAACATCATAATAGGAATTAATGAAACAGAAAATAGACAACAATAGAGAAATCAATGGAACCAAAAGTTGATTGTTTATCAATGAAACTAATAACTTGTAGCCAGACTAGTCAGGAAAAACAGAAAGAAGACATCAATAATCCATAGTAGGGGGGCCCCGGGTGGCTCAGTCGTTAAACATCTGCCTTCAGCTCAGGTCATGATCCCGGGGTCCTGGGATCGAGCCCCACATCGGGCTCCCTGCTCAGAGGGAAGCCTGCTTCTCCCTCTCCCACTCCCCCTGCTTGTGTTCACTCTCTTGCTGTGTCTCTCTCTGTCAAATAAATAAATAAAATCTTTACCAAAAAAAAAAAAAATCCATAGTAGGAACAAAAGAGGTGGTATCAGTGCATTAAAAGGAGAATGAGGGAATATTATGAACAAACTTATGACAATAAATCTGACAACTTAGATGAAATGAACAAATATTCCTTCAAAGACATAAAACACCAAAGTTTACTCAAGAAGAAACAGATAACCCAAATAACCTTATATCTATTAAAGAAATTGAATTAGTAGTTAAAAGTCTTCCCACAAAGAAATTGCAGGCCTCAATGGCCTTCATATTGAAATCTACGAAATATTTAAGAAAAAATAATACTAATTCAACACAGACTCTTCCAGGAAATTGAAGCATGAGGTCAGCATTACCCTGATAGCAAAACCAGACTAAGACATTATAAAAAAAAATTGGGGGCACCTGGCTGGCTCAGTCAGTGGAGCATGTGATTCTTAATCTTGGGGTTATAAGTTTGAGTCTCACATTGGGTACAGAGATAACTTAAAAATAAAATCTTTAAAAAGAAAAAAAAATTCAAGACCAATATCTTTCATGAAAGGACATGCAAAAACTTTAAACAAAATTTTAACAAATGGAATGCCCGGATAATTCGATGGGGGAAATAACAGCCTTTCAACAAATGACACTGGGACAAGTGGACATTCACATGCAAAAGAATGTTGTTGGACCCCTGCCTCACACCACACACACATGAAGATTAACTCCAAATGGATCATAGTTCTCAGTGTAAGAGCTAAACATATAAAATTCTTAGAAGAAAATACAGGAGTAGATTTTCATGACTTTGAGTTAGGCAGTCTTCTTAGATATGAAACCAACAGCACAAGCAACAAAAGAAGAAAGTAGGCAAATTGCACTTCATCAAAATTCAAACCTTTTGAATTTAAAGGACACTACCAAGAAACTGCAAGACAATCCACAAAATGGGAAAAAAATATTTGCAAATCAGATATTTGATAAGGGGACTTATATCCAGAATACATAAAGAGCTCTTAATAACTCACATCAAAAGGCAAGCTACCCATTTTTAAAATTATTTATTTAAAGGTTTTATTTATTTATTTGACACACACAGAGAGAGACCACAAGCAGGGGGAGGGACAGAGGGAGAGGGAGAAGCAGTCTCCCTGCCAAGCAAGGAGCCCAACTCAGGGCTTGATCCCAGGACCCTGGATCATGACCTGAGCCAAAGGCAGACGCTTAACTGACTGAGCCACCCAGGTGCCCCAAGTTACCCCCCTTTTTTTTTAAATGGGCAAGATCTGAATAGATATTTCTCCAAAGAAGACATACAAATTGCCAATAAATACATGAAAAGATGCTCAACATCATTACTTGTAAAGGGAAATGCAAATCAGAAGCACAACAAGATACCGTTTCATACCCAGTAGGACGACTAGAACCAAAAAGACTGATGGTAACAAATGCTGGCGAGGATCTCGAGCAATCAGAGACCTTGGTCATTGCCAGTGGGAATGTAAAATATTGCAGACAAATGAAAGAAAACACATCCAGACTGGAAAGTAAGAAGCAAAATTAAGAGTCTCATGCTCTACCGACTGAGCTAGCTGGGCGCTAGTAAGAAGCAAAATTAGATGATTCTCTATATAGAAAAATTCTAAGAAATCCTCAGGAAAACTAGCAGAGCTAGCAAATGAGTTCAGCAAGGTCAAAGGATATAAGATCAATATTTTAAAATCAATTGTAGTCTAGTATTTCTGAAATAAAGGTAAGGAAACAATTCCATCCATAATAGTATAAAAAGAATAAATATTACACATTTATTAGTGAATAAATTATAATTATTATAAACTAATTACTGATAAATTATTTATCATTTATTAATAAGTTTTAACAAAAGAAGTGCAAGACTTGAACACTAAATATTACAAAACATTGGTGAGAGAAAGTAAAGATATAAATGGGGAGGTGTCCCATGTTCATGGATGGGAAGATGCAGAGCTGTCAATGGCAGCTCTTCCCGGCCAAAGTCAACGCAATCCCTAACAAAATCCCAGCAGGTTTTTTTTTGTTTTTTTTTTTTTTGGCAGAAATGGACAAGCTGATCCTAAAAAAATTGTATAAAATATAAAGTTCCCAGAATAGCCAAACCAATTTTGAAAAAGAAAGCAAAATTGAAGGAGTCTCTAATTTCCAAACTCAGGGTGAGGCTCCAATAATCAAGGTGTGGTGGTAGTGCAGGGACAGACACGTGGGTCAATGGAACAAAATCCAGAGTCTGGACACAAACCCTCACTCTTACAGTGAAGCAGTTCTTGACTGAGGTGCTGAGGCAATTCAGTGGGGAGAGGACCGTCTTTATGGCACATGGTGCTGAGATGGCTGGACATCCACGTGAGAAAAGACAAATTTAGAACTGCATCTTATCCAGAAAAATTAACTGAAAATGGACTGCAGAAATGCAAGAGCAAAACTTCCAGCAGAAAACAGGAGAATATCTTTGTGTACTTGGGTCGGGCTAATCATTCCTATATACGTTACCAAAATTACAATCCATAAAAGATAAAATTGACAAATCTTCATCAAAATTAAAAAACCCTTGGCACTTCAGAAGACAGCATTAAGAAACTGACAAGATGAGGGGCGCCTAGGTGGCTCAGTCGGTAAGATGTCCGACTCTTGATTTTGGCTGGAGGTCATGATCTCAGGGTTGTAGGATGGAGCCCCAACTCAGGCTCTGTGCTCAGCAGGAAGTCTGCTTGAGATTCTCTCTCCCTCTCCCTCTGCCCCTCCCCTGCTCTCTCTCTCTCAAATCAATCTTTAAAAAAAAGTTTAAAGAAAATGACAAGATGAGCTGCAACTGAAACTATTTGCAAAGATGTATCTGATAAAGGACTTGTATCCAGAATACATAAAGAACTCATATAACTGAAAAACAAGAAGAGTAAACAGCCTAATTTAAAAAAAATGGGCAGCGTGTTTGGATAACCATTTGTCTAGAGAAGACACACATGTGGCCAATAAACACATGAAAAGCTGCTTGCTCCACACCACCAGTTGTGAGGGAAGCGTGACTCAGAACTTCAATGGGACGCCACTTGACCCCCTCAGGATGGCTGCGGATGTGCAGGACATGGGGAAATCGAGCCCCATGCCCCTGGCGGGATTGTAAAATGGTGCGGCCACTTTGGGAAAGAGTCTGGCAGTTTCTTTGAAAGTTTACACATAAATCTGCCATGTGATCCAGCAGCTCCCCTCACGGGTGCATAACCAAGACACAGAAAACACAGGCCGCACAAAAACTTGCACCAAACATTCCCAGCTGCCCAAAGTGCAAGCACCCAAATGTCCGCCAACAGACGAGCGGGGAAACCAAGGGCAGAAATGGTCACTGAAGCACCAACACGACCACCTGGGTCACCTCAGCCAAGGACGCCGGTCAGAGACGCAGAGCCGGAGGCCGTGTGTCGTGGGACTCCACTCATACCAAGTGCCCATAGCAGGCACATTGGTGGGAACAGGGCTGCAGGTGGGAAGGAGGGGCCTTTCTGAGGTGAAGGAAATGGTCTGAAACAGAACTGTGGTGCTGGCTGCCCCACTCTAAATTTGCTGAAAATCAAGGAATCACTTAATACATGAGGATTTCGAGCTATATAAAGGACACTGCAGTAAGGTTGTTAAACCAACTGTGACTCTCTTTGATCCATGCTGCTCATCATGGCCCCGTCCTCAAAGCTTCAGAACTCAGGTGAAATAATGGACATTAAGAATCCCAGTCATGAGTTTATTACTGGTGGTCCTGCCCCGGCCACCGCACAGTGACCACCTGGGGGCCGAAAGGCGCACCCAGGGTCCTCTGCCCTGCCGCCAGGCCAGAAGGCCCCTCTCTGCACCAGGCACTCTGCTCACGGTGGGAAGCGCTCTGGGAGGCCGGCTGGTCCACCCTCAGCATCGACACCCGGCTCATACGATTCCTCAAAAAGCAGCCAGATGCTATTGGAGATCTGTCCTCCTCTGATGACCCATGGAGGACACAGGAACTCGCCCCTTGCCAGGCTGAGATGCCCCACGGACGCCAGTGGCCCTGAGAAGTCACCCATCGTCCTGAGAGACATGCAATGGCTGTGGTCACGCGCACACACTCATGATTCACGTGGCTGCCTCCCGCCAGTGGGGGGACTCGCACGCCTGCTACAAGGACATCCGGTACCAGAAGCCACATGTGCCATTTCGTCCCTAGCCCTAAGCACCTGACACCTGTTTATCTTTCTGAAAATCCAGTCGTCACCCTGGAGATGCTTACTCCTGGCCACTTCCCCATTGTTCTGCTGCAGCTGGATGTTCAACGTGAAGGAAGACCCCTGAGCCACATCCATCACCTCCGGACCCAAAATCACGATCCTCTTGGCTTGTGCTGGGAAAGAGCAGAGCAGAGCGCGGTTCAGCACAGGTCAACGGTGGGCCCAGCGCCTGCTTGAGCCCACGTCCCCACCGGGGCCCTCCCACGGAACAGCTGTGCTTCCCAGGGCACCGCAGGAGAGGGATGTGCAGTTATCACACATAGGGCTGTAAATCCCCTGCTCGAGCCACCTCACCCAGAGACCCCAGCAGTCACTCAAATAAGACTGTGACCCCATCCTGAGGGTCAGCTGTGACTTTTAAGCAACTTCTTGCAGAACTGGTTACATTAAAGAGACTTCAGAGGTCCACTGAATGCTGAAGGGCTGTGAGTGAGCGGCTTGTCAGCACTGGGGTTTGCACACGGTGGAATTTCCTGTACATTCTCTGGTTGGTTGGGACTCCGGCCCCGCACTCCTGGCATCTGAGTCAGCAGCTCAATGGGTGCTGGATGAGGCGCTGTAGGCACCTGCTGGGGAACCGGCCAGAGCGCGTCCACACACAGGCTGGACCTGCGGGGCATCCCCTGGGGTCTGGCAGCTGGAGACGGTGTTCTCGGTGTCCGCTTCCCCTTGACTCTCCGAGCCCCCGAGAGTGATGACCTCTGGCACAGCACAAGCTTCAGGGTGTTTAAAAGCAGTCACTGGGAAAGGCTTTAGGACAGGACTTGAGTCTGATCGAGGACGTGCCAGCCAGGCGGGCGCATACACGGGCACGTGTGCAGGGCGACAGGTGCTTCACGGTGATGGGGGGCTCAGGGAGCCCTGCTCTGTTCTGGGGGGACAACCTGGCACCCAGCAGGGTGAGGCCAGAGCCCGCCTCAGCTGTCCTAGGCTTTTTCCAGCATTTGCTGAGACTTGGCTAGGGGGAGGTGAGGACATGGCTTGCCGCCTGCCCGAATCTTTCACACCCAGGGATTCCAACATCCCTAATTTGGGGTGGGCTGGGATCTGGGTCTCTTCCCAAGGTGAAGTTCCTAAGGTGCTCCTGGAGGACCCTGCCTAAGGCTGGCCCGATCCCCAGACCCCGGGACCCTGAGAGCGTGACTGAGCCGAAGGCAGACCAGTCACAAGCCTTTTTGAAACCTGATTGGAATGTGTTTTCCCTAAAGGGGCTGGGGTTTTCGATCTCACCTCACCCCTGACCCCAAACACCTCCAGATTCAGCAACCCCGTGCGAGTGCCCGTGGCCACCTGAGAGAGAACTCAGCAGACCCCAATGTGACCCCACAAGAGGACAAGGGGGAGGCAGGGGTGGGAGAGGCACCTACCCACCGGGTGGCCATTGATCCACATCCCGTGGTAGATGGCCCCAGAGCAGTGGGTCATGTTGCCCAGGCCACTGAAGACGTCACTGTGCCACTGCCCCTGTGGAGAGAGCCGTGTGGACACGTGAGACAGCAAGGGGAGGCCCGTGGGGTCCCCGCAAGCACCCCGCTCCCCTTCCACAGGCCGAGGACCGAGTCTGCTGGAAAACCACCCCCTCAGGGGCTGGGAATCACGCGGTACCGCCCTGCCTCCGAAGGACTCTGCAATTGAATTGTAAGAAGAGGGTCAGTTTGGGGACAATGGCACATATGTAAATGGCTCAAAAAGGGGCACTTTCAGCACAAAAATCCTTTCAATAAAGATATTACATTTGTGCAGGATGGAGGCGCCCCCTGACAGCAGCAGGGACCACTGAGGGGACCTTGGAGCCCACGCGGCACACTCCACCCCCCCACTCGGCTGCCCCCAGAAGCAGCCTTGCTTTCTGAACCACACGCACAGCAGAGTGCGAGAATAACGTGGGAAAGCGGCAACAGTGTTTTGTGGAAAACTTCAAGGTCCTAATGGTATTTTATTTGAGTGTGAATTACTGCTTTTGGAAGAAAAATCAGCCAGAAGCTTGTTTGGTTCTATGCATTTTCTGTGGGAGCTAATTGGGCTCCCGCTTCCCAGCCCTGCTCTCCACGTGGGCCACGCGTGGTCGGTGCCCACGGGTGCTGTGGGAGGCAGCGCAGCGGAGGCCGGCGCCGGGCTCTCTCCCAGGCCTTTGGGAGGCTGTGCGAACGGCCCCCGCAGGCCGCAGCCCTGCAGAGCTCGGACACCCCGAACCTGGGGGGTGGCTTGGAGAACAGAGTCACCAAGCACCAGGGCTGGGGAGCCAGGTCACGTTGAGGGGTGGAGGGAGACCTCCGTGGCCAGGCGCCATCACGGCTGGCCTCTGGGCAGCATCAATGGGTGCCTCGGCCCTGCAACCAGAAAGGAGTCACTGCACACGCACATCCGCGCTTGGGGGTGACACATGCGCCTGTGTGCCCACGTATATACGTGTGCGCGTGTCTGTGTATCCGTGTGCGTGCATGTGTGCAGCGGGACAGCGGTGCTTTCACCGGAATGGGCAAAGTGAACTGGGCGGGAGAGAGCAGAGCAGGAGAGTCCTGGGCTGGGCTTCTGTCCATGGGTCAGGGTGGGGACAGCCCTGGGAGGGTGGCCCCAGAGCCCCGCGGGCACGTTAAGCCCCAGCCCCCCGTTACTCTGCTTGCTGGGAGGCGGTGGGTGAGGCTTGGAAGTGAAGTCGCTGAAATGGTTTGCTTGCCAGGAAACCTTTCCTTTCACGACACCATCCTCAGACCCAAGAAGTTACCAGTTTCAGCTCAGGCGACAGGACTCACAGCCAAACAAACACAAACCCCATAGGAGCCGAACCAAACCCACTGTCCCCAACACCCACCCCGCCCTCTATGTAGAAACCACTGGGCTCGGTCCCCAGGCCTGGCATCAAGAGGTGGTATAGCGGGATGTGGTCAGGCCCAAAAAGCGGGATGTGGTACAGGGGACCTTGGCCACAGGGGAGGGCTGTGCCTTGAAGAGAACAAAGCCTTCATGTGGGGCCTCTCACTTTTCCCCAGCCCCCTTGCTCCAGCCACCCTCCGCCCTCCCAGCGGCAAGAGCAGCGATCTCTGCGCCCACCACGTGCCCTGGGCAAGTCTGCCACCTGCCCTCACATTCCAGTCTTCATTCCTGTCCCTGTGCAGGTGTGCTGAGTTCTCCCCATCCTGCGGGGATGGGCGTGGGGCCTGTGGAGTCTGGCCACGTGCTCATGTGCTCTTCCAGGTGGGAGGCTGGGATTCAAGATGCTGGAGATTGGCTCCGAGTTCAGTCTGCACGGGGCACTGACGCAGCCCCATGCCTGCACCGGTGGCGCCCCACACCTCCCTTGCTCGGCTCTCCAAGACGTGGCTCCAGATGCTCCCACCAGGTGGAGCAAAACCCTGCGGCACTTCCTAGCGGCCATCCCTTCCCCATCCTCGGGGGCCTCTGAGACTCCTGGAGCCCGGAGTCACAGCTCCCACGGAAGGATGGATGGACGGACGCTAGTCATAAACACTCCCTGGCTCCCTCAAGACTGCATGGGGGCTCAGGTCAGCTCAGGCTGAGAGGCTATCCAAACCACGAGATGGCTGCTGGGCCCATTTCCCACGTTGTAGCCATTGCTGCTCTGAGAACGGCCACCTCTCGTCTCCGCTCTCCCTCCGTAGGCCCAGGCCTCTGCAAAGTGCCGGTGCTGCTCTCAGGAGGAAGGCACAGCCTTGGGTTGGCTGGAGAAGGAGCTGATTGGCGGGTCATCCCACACCCACAGCTGTCAAGGACGGCCTGTGGGACCGTGGCACCCCTGCACCCACTCCAGGGGCGCGCATTGCGCTCACCACCCACTGTGTCTTCCCTGATCGGTCACAACGGGTGACCTGAACTCGCTGCTGGAACCTCTGGGGGAGCTGGGTATTCACAGCGTTAATGCAGGACTTCCCCAGGACAAACGCGCCCCAGTGTACAATGTAACTCACCCAGCAGCGCGGAATCTTTTCTAATTAATGTTATAAATCATACCTTTGAAAATACTGCCCTTTCTTAGCTGACTCGCACCCAAAGCATGAACCAATACTTACTAAAGCATTTCACAGAGGAGGCAGTGGGGTTCTCCACGAGGAGGGGTGGGGGGGTATTCCCCAGAGCAGGGGCTCCCTCCACTCTCCCTGGCCCTCCCTGCCCATGTGAGGGCTCATGCACGGTAGGTGCAATGCGGGAAGAGGGGGCAGGGGCCTGTGTCCACACCACAAAGACTGGCAGGATGGGGTTCGGTGTTAGGAAGCGGGCCCAGGGGACTGTGGTGAGGCACGCCTGTCACCCTGCAGTTGCTGGGGCACCCCCAGGACCGAGGGGGATGCTGCAGACAGCCTCCGCAGCTGGGCCCACCTCTGAGCGTCCACAGCTCCCAGGACAGCTGGGCGCTGGGATGAGAGACTCTTTGGGTGCTCTCCCACCACACATGGTGGGAATAAACTGTGAGAAGTATTTGACTCTCTTCTCATTTTAGGGAGCACGTTCTGTTGATTCTGTTTTTCTGAGGGAAGAACTACTGTGCTTCTCCAACTGCGTGCCCCCCCCATGTCCCCTGGTGCTCCCTGGAGCACACTGAATGTCCAGCCTACCCCATCGGTCACGTCCCGCCTCTAGCCCTCCCTGGGCACCAGAGTTTGGCTGGCCACACCAGGAGGGCCCAGGGGCCTGACTTCCCAGTGTCTGCCTCGGGCGGTATTCGGATGGCCTCCCCTACCATTGCCAACCTTGGAGCTGGAGCAGGTGACCACTTTCTTTGAGGTCATGAGCTGGCAGACCAGCGAGGGGTGATCTGGGGTCAGGTCACATATGTGGATATGGCCCCAGGCCACCTGCCTGGGCGGCCCTGCAACTGCCTAGGGGGCCTGGATCTCCAGCTTGTGGGACGGCCTGCCGGGGTGGCAGTGGGCACACAGGCTGGAGCGTCAGGGGCACGGGTGTGTGCCCTGCTCATCCATCTCCCCAACAACAGCAGGGTCATAGGGTGTCGTGTTTGACTTCCACGACGTTGGTCATAAGTTCCTCAGATTTCAAAGTGTGCACTGTGGCTCTCGATGCCTTTCCGTGTCTGTTTCTGATGTCTGATGACATGTGGACCGTGCAGGGAACACGGAGCCTGGCACTGGATCCGTGATGGCTCTGGCAGTCCAGATCCCTCCTCCCGTGAGTGCTCGAACAGACCCAGATGCTCCGACTGTTCTGTGTGCGGTGCAACCCTGCGGTCATGGCCCCACATTCCTGGGCTGTGCAGGGTGGCATGGGGACGTAAAAGCCACTGGCATTCCTGAAGACACACAGGTGAGGACAGTGGAGGCTGGGAGCCACCAGCAGGTGAAGATGCACATAAGGCCGGCCACCTGCTCTGAGCGGCAAGCAGGTGTACCAACCAGCAGGCCTCCCTCTGGGAAAGCCAACACAAGAAGCACAGCCAATGTGCACAGAGTGGCACCCAGGGACAGCCCGGAAGCCAGCTGGGGGACCACACAGGTAGGGAACACTGTGCCGTGCAAACACACACCGGAGTTCACCAGCAGCTCGGGTCTGCTTCCATCCATGGGGGGACACAGCTTGCCTCCACGGCTCAGTATCAGGTCTGGGGCTCCCTCAGGGATTCCGGAATGCTGCCACTCTCGGAGGGGCTGCCCTGTGCCCGTGGGGGTCACCATGCTGCGGCCACGTTCCCGGGAGGAGCCGGTGAGCCTGCTGCTGCTGGGCACGCCCACCCCCATGTCCCGCGGAGGTGGAGGCAGCATGGAAGGTCCAGCGGGTGCAAGCCGGGAGCCTGGGGGTGACCCGCACAGAACCATCACGGGGTAGTGGGGGCAGGAGATGCCCTTTCCAAGATGTGCCAGTTACAACCACCGGCCCCAATCCTGACCACGTGGCTCCTGTCACGACAGAAGAACAAGCAGTTCTGGCTCTGGGATATGTTGTTTTTATGTCCTGACAGAAGATGCTAGGACATTATTTTCAGGAGTGGGTTTTTCCTGCGGCTCATTGCAAGGGTCTGCACTGGGGCGATACTGGTGACGAGGCAGCGGGGACTGAGAGACAAAGGCACAGCTGCCGCTGGGTGGGGGAGCTGGCCGTGCTGGGGGGTCCCCACCCCCTGCTCCATGCGGCCCTGAGCACGCCTCTGCAGTTACACACCCCTCCTGGAACTTCTCCTTCTCCAGGTCTGGCAGGTTCTCTGTCAGACTCGGCTGACATGGGACATGGTCAAGGGAGAGCTCGGCCACTATCGTCTAATCTTTGAGAAAATAAAATTACCTTAAAAATAAATAAAAACCAGAAGCTGGTAGGTCTGTGGTGAGGGGGGCCCAGGGCAGCTTTCTGGGCAGCTTGGAGTTAAAGAGGGTGGGGGTCCGAGGGTGCCTGGGGCCTCGCGTGGGGGCCGACACTTCCTGGGAAGAAAGCAGGAGGTGGCCACACCTGCTGGTACAGGACAGTTCACCTGTCCCGGCCGCGTGGCACAGAGCCTGCACTCCCCGGGTGACAGCAGCCATCAACGCCAGTGGTCCAGCCAAGGGACACGCCGGGTAGGAGGGTGAGGCCGGGCAGAAGAGCCCAGCAGGGATGGAGGGACGCCACATCCCCCCGACGGCAGCAGTGGCCGGCGCTGGATTGTGGACGGCACCAGAACACGTGGGGACGGCCGTCTTCAGGAGGAGGAAAGGACAAGTGCAGGCGAGGGTGTGGACGGATCGGAACCCATGCGCAGCTGCTGGGAAAGTGACATGCGGCAGCCGCTGTGGCAGCCGTGTGGGGCTCCCCAGAAGTAAGTGGGAGCCACCACGGGGTCCAGAAGCTCCTCTTCTGGGTGTGCACCCCGAGGACCTGGACACGGGGGCTGAGAGAGCTGTGCCCCCCCCCCCACGTTCATGGCAGCATCGCTCACAGGAGCCAAGCGGTGGAAGCAGCCCAGGGGTCCATCGGCGGATGGACGGACGTGCAGAACGGGGGCCCTCCACGCGATGGACTATTATCCAGCCTTAGAAAGGAAGGAGCATGGACGGAGCTCGAGGACTTCGGGCTCAGTGAAATGGGCCAGTCCCCAAAGGACAGGTCTTGTAGGACTCCCCGGACACACAGTACCTGCGGGAGTTAGATCCGTGGGGACAGAAAGTGGCGGGGTGGGCACCAGGGGCGGGAGGGCTAGTGTTTCCTGGGGGCAGAGTGTCCGTGTGGGAAGACGGAAGGTTCTGGAGACAGACGGCGGGGACGGGAGCCCCACAGTGTGAATGTGCTTCCCGCCCCGAGCCATACACTTAGCGGTTACAACCACGAATTTTACGTTAGGCGTATTTTACGATATATAAGGATGTGTTTTATAAGAAGGCCGACCATTTTCCCAGTGAGAGCCCAGGGAACGGCTGTGCCCTCACGGGAGACGGCCTTGGGGTAGCGCCCAGCTCCGTCCCACGGCGCCCCGTCTCCTGGGTGACTCTTGAGAACCGGAGGTTGGAGGTCAGGCGTGAGGTGTCCCTGCAACACGGAGAGGCCCGCGCCTTCCCCATCAGCGAGGCCTGGCAACAGAGCGCGGGCCGAGTCTCCCTGGCGGCTCCGGAAGGCGTGCTGGTGGCGGCGAGCGCGTGGGCCGTGTCCGAGGTCACCGTGTGGCTGCAGCCGGACCCCACTGCCCTCCTGGGGTGTGGCCCTTCTCCACACGTCCTGTCTGCACGGCCATCTGGAAGCCGGTTTAAAAGGTGGCCGGAGGGCAGGGGAATGCCGTGAGGGACCCCCATGCACACCCTCCCTCCAGGACCTGGGTGCCCCTCGGCCATCCCGTCGGCGCCCGAGGGGCGGGCGAGGTGGCTGCTCGCGTCCCTGCCAGCATGTGCGGCTGGGGGCTGCCCACCACGAGCACAACTGAGGATGGGGTCCCAGCAGTGCTGAGCTGCAGGGAGCAGGCCAGTTGTCCAAGGTCCTTGGGCACGAGGCTCCAGAAGGTTGGGACGGTGCCAAACAAACGGAAATGCAGGCGGACATGAGTCTGCATCCTGGGAAAGATGCAGCTGGAGGACCAGGCTTCCATGTTCACTCATGTGGGAGGCGCCCCACGTCGAGGACACGCCACCTCCCTTGAGGACGTGTGGGGGTCCTGAGGTCTGCAGGCTGGGACGGCGCAGCCCGTGACACTGAGGGGTGACCGTCCAGGAGAAGTTCTCCTCACTTGGTGAGGAAGCAGCCTAGCCATCGGGAGCTGCAGCCGGGGGGGAGGGTTCAGTCTGAAATCAGGCTCCAGCGGTCAAGTTGGAGCAAAATGTCTCCGGAGCGGGAGAAGCCCCTTGTAAGGCCTGACCCGCCGAACTGCTGGCGGGGCTGGGCTGCCCCCTGGTGGAGCGCTGGGCAGGCGATGGGCGCCTGGGTCAGCCTGGGGTGTGGAGGGCCACTGCCCTAGTCCCGTCCCCTCCTGGCTGAGCCATGACTTGCAGGGGAGGCCTGAGCGGGGGCCCAGAGGGCAGCCACAGCACTGAGGCCCGGCAAGTGGCCGAGGTGCCGAGGGCCAGGAAAGCCTCCAGGAACAGGGCAGCGCCGGGGGCCCCGAAGAAGCGGATGCTCCCTCCACCAGCCCTGTCCAGCCGTGAGGGGACCCACCTGGGTTGGAGACCATGCCATCTGCCCCCGAATCTCACTCAGGCTCCAGGCCGGAACTCCCTGCCCCTCCTCTGGGCCTGTGGCCTCACCCACGAAGCGGGGAGAAGGGCTGAGGCCAGAGGCTGGTGCTTGTGGCGTGAACAATTCTGCTGCCATGCACTGGGAACCCGCCCGTGTCCACCCCAGGCCGCGAGGTGTGCTTGTGCACGTTTGTGGGGATGACTCCGGGTGTGGCGTGGATGGGCGGGGGCAGAGGGAGACCTGCCCTCTGTGTCTCTCTCCCACTGCAGCTCTGGAGAACCAAGGCCAGGTTGTTGGTGGTGCCTGTGCTGGGCCCTACGGGCGGGTCCTGTAAGGACGGATGGTCCCTCATGGAGAAGCAGCAGGCCAGCAGTGACACAGATGCACACGGGGCACACTGGCCCTTGCTGCCTGTCCTGAGGCTGGGGTGCGGTCTCACCCAGGCCAAGCTTGTCTGATGAGCAGGCCAGGCCGCTGTGGGGGGCCGCACGGGCCAGGCCACGATGCCAGCTGCCCCCCCCCAGCGCCCCGCCAGCCATCAGTTACCACCTCTCAGCCCCAAAGCCACTCTTCCTGGCCGGCTCTGCTGCTGGAGCTGGACCTCTCGCCGTCTCTCCTGGCCGCCTGACGCGTGGCTCGTTGGCAGCAGGCCCTGCGTGAACGGCCGTGTGCAGCTGGGCCTGGGCTCCCGCAGCCCTGGATTCAGTGGGCTCATCGCAGCCGCTGTGGTGAAGTCACTGTGGCGAAGTCACCGCACACCACGAGTCTCCCCAAGGAGCCTGGCTGTGCAGGCGGGCCCCAGGTCCATCTTTTGGGCATCTGCGGGGCCACTGGTGCATTTGCTGTTGCCGTTTCTGCTTTTACCCCTTGCAGCACTCCAGAGCCCTGCACTGGCTACCCAGCTACCCATTTCCACGGTAACGTGCTGGCCCGGTGCCTGTCTCCCAATGGGATTCTGCTTCGGGCACTGCCACCACCCTCCAGTGCTCAGGTCCCAAACCCAGGAGTCAATCCTTGCTTCTCCTCTTGCCTCCGCCTCGACATCCAACCTGCCGGCAAGGCCGGTGTCTTCACCTCCAAACCACCCCAAGGCTGTTTCCTGTGCCCTCCCCTCTCCTGATGGCAGAGTGCCCCCTGAACAAGAACCAGAGGGACTTTCACAGAGATCAGACCACCACTTCCTTCCAGTGCTTCCGGCGACCCTTACAATCACACTCCAGCCCGCTGAGGCTCAGGGTCTCCGTGGGCCCCTCCCGGACCTCCCGCCCGGCTGTGTCCTTGCTCCTCCTGCTGCCGGTAGCACCCTGCCCTTGCTCTTCGGTGGCCATGGCGGCTCATCATCATTTAGGCCTCAGCTCACAGAATGACACAAGAGAGACGACCAGGCTCTTGGCCCCCCAGCTGCCTGCAGGGCTGATGGGGCTACTTGTCACTCTGGCCACCGACTGTGGCTCGCCCTTCCTGAGACGCACATCTCTGGCTCCTGCTGTGACTGCTCCCAGCTAGGCACGTGGCCAGTGTCCAGTAAGAAAGATGGATGATGGATTCTGGGGTCCCGATGAGGTCTTCAGATCTGCCTGGTCTTCCTCCCGCTTGCAGCACCTGACCGCCCCCAACCCCGGTCAGACCCAAGGGGTACGGCCTGCAGCAACAAGGTGGGGAGAACGTCCTCTCCCATGGGACTGAGGCGGGCATTTCTCATCAAAAACGCTTCACTGGCCCTGAGGGCATCCTCAAGGGACCGAGAAATGTCACCCCGTTCCCTCAGGTGACACTGCAGGTGGCAGGGCATCTCAGGAGCCAGACAGGAAAGGTGTTAGCTGGGGCACTTCCCCTTCCCTCGCTTCCTCATCAGCCAAAGGGGGTGGCCGCCCTCCCTGCCCCTTGGGGTGGAGGGGCAGCACTGAGGTGCCCCATGAGGACGCCTGGGCGGCACAGGTGTCCAGTGGGGTCCCCAAGAGCCTGGGGTCCTGCCACATCTCCAGGTACCTCGTAGGTGGAGCCGTCGGCTCGGCACAGCACACCGTGCCCCTGACGCTGGTCCCGGACCCAGTCGCCTTCGTACTTGTCACCGTTCCTGGGGACACAAACATGGGGCAGCTCTCAGACCGGGGAGAGCCAGGTGGTGGCGCTGACTCAGACCCGCTCCTCCGACCGGGGCTCAGCAAGCGCCACCGGGACTGAAGCAAAAATAGTCCCTGAGCAGATGGCACGAGCTCCTGCCTTGCCAGGGCCTGCTGCGGAGGGGCAGGGGGCCTGGCGCTTGGTGGGGGGTGATGGCAGCGGCCCATGGCCCCCGCTCGCCTGGCCCCCAGCTGGGTAAGACTTGGAGAAGTCAGTGTGAACCTACACGTGGCCACGGTGGTGCTGTGCACAAGCCACGGATGAAAATGCAGGCTCACCATGTCCCGTGGCGCCGAGAAAGCCCCTGCCCGCCACCCACCTGCTGCCCAAGCCTCCGGGAGGTGTTCGCTAGGGGGAGTCAAGGCTCTCTCTACTAAACACTCTGGTAAGCAGTGTCGGTAACTAAAGCATTGAATCCCAAGTGTTGCCGATGTGCCGGAGACCAGGGTGGCCCGGGGGCCGGGGCGCACTCACCGGAAGACCATGTGCCCCCGGCCGTGCCTCTTGTTCTCATGGAACGACCCCCAGTAGGCCTGTCCGTCCCGGTCCACCAGGTGCCCGTGTCCTAGGGAGGGAGCCCAGGGCGGTGAGCATCACTTCCTGCCTCCTGTCAGGGGAACCTTGCTTCCACCCCCCCAGAGGGCGCTGGTAGATTCAGAAGAAAGCTGGGGTCAGAACGGCTCCAGGAACCGGGCTGTCCTCCCAGGCCGGGGGTGCCCAGGGAAGACACGGCAGCTGTGATTTGGGGTGGCACCAGTGACCACCACGCCAATGACAGCGGTTCTGGGGTCCAGCTCTCAAAGGTGCTGAGTGAGGGCGGGAGGGGTGCCCCTTAAGGTCTCCCAGGCCCCAGCATTTGAGGCTGGAGTGCCCTGGTGTCAGCTGGGGCCACCCCACAGCTCTGCCATCATGTCAGTCCATGGGAAACTGTACCTCACAGACAACGGCAGTGCTGGGCCTCCTGTGACCGACTCAAAGGCCCTTGGTCTAAAGGCCAGAGCACAGGGGCGCCTGGGGGGCTCAGTCGGTGGAAGGTCCGACTCTAGGTTTCAGCTCAGGTCATGATCTCAGCATCATGAGATTGAGCCCTGCATCAGGCTCCGTGCTGGGCGGGGCGTCTGTTTGAGATTCTTTCTCTTTCTCTCTCCCTCCACTCCTCCCCTGCTGGCATGCCCTCTCCAAAATAAATAAATCCTTAAAATCATAAAAAAAAAAAAAAAAGGGCGCCTGGGTGGCTCAGTTGGTTAAGTGACTGCCTTCGGCTCAGGTCATGATCCCGGAGTCCAGGGATCAAGTCCCGCATCAGGCTCCCTGCTCAGTGAGGAGCCTGCTTCTCCCTCTGACCCTCCCCCCTCTCATGTACTCTCTCTCTCTCTCTCAAGTAAATAAATAAATCTTAAAAAAAAAAAAAAAAGAAAGAAAGAAAACAAAGGCCAGAGGACACGCTCATGAGAACAGGGCTTCATGGCATGGTTCGGGACAGCTCGGAAGTGCATGCGCAACTTCCGATGTAAGCGGACCCTGGAAAGGCACCGTCGGACCTTGTGGACGCATGGCTTGCTTCCGGAGGCTGGTCTTCCAGAACAGTGAGCACTTTGGTCTTCAGGCGCCAGGGATGCACATACCCCCCCACCCCCACCGCGGGCAGAGTCCGCTTCCCCACAAGCGTGGCCTCCTGACTCACTTTGTTCAGCAGCATGTCCTCAGAGGACCTGCAGCTTCTTGCCCCCCAGGAACCCCGAGGCTCTGGGCCAGGGCCCAGGAACCACCAGCCCTGCCTGAGCTGCTGTGACAACCACTGTGGGGGTGACCCCATGTGAGGCCAAAAGCGTTGCCCAGCCAAGCCAGGGACAGACTGCTGACCCCCAGGATTGTGGGTGAATAATTAAATGGCAGTTTTTTGAGCTGCTAGATTTTAACCACAGCAGTGAACTGATGCAGGACCCATGGTCTCAGCCCCAGCAAGCAGGGTTCCCAGGCCACGGCCCCCACACAGAGCTGCAGCAGACGTGGTTCTGGGGGCAGAGAGAAGAGCACCTCCAGTATGGCCGGGTGCACGTCAGGGCCCCTGAGTTAGACCCTGGGGAGGGGTGCTGGGGCCCAGGGCTCCCCACAAAGCGCCCTGCCACACTCAGCAAGCTCCTGTGGGTATCAGACCTTCTCTCAGGCCGTGGGAGAACTCCCCTTCATAATGTCCGCCAGCTTTGTACTTCATGACGCCGTGTCCTTGAGGCTCTCCCAAAACAAACTGTCCAGAATAGGTGTTTCCTGGTGCAGATGAGGAGAGGGGCACACCCAGGGTTAGAGCTGTTCCTGAGTTCCCTGTGGGTTGACAGTCACACCCCTCCCACCCCTGATCAATGGTGGCAGCAAGTATCATTTCAGAACACGTGAGGGGGTCTCCCTTTCTCCCGTTCACCTTGGCTAACGAGAGAAAATAAGAGTAGGTGGGTTTGGTCCTGCCCTCCTGGTTACTGTACAGCCCCCCTCGCCCATAGCAGGTGGATGCAGATCCCCGTCCTATGACGACCCTCTCTGCAGCATCCAGGTGCCCAAGGGCAAAGGCCTCTCTGGGTCGGAATCTGTGGGGGTGGGCCTTCTCTCAGCGGAGAACAGCCACCATGCTTGCCTGGGAAGGTCTGTGAGTGGTTGCCCCTGCCCTCGGCTGGCATGCTGCTAATGCGGGGAATGTGATGGAAACCAGAGACCCACACTTCACAGAGGGAGGTGCCTTCTGCATCCAGAAGCCAGGGACAACTTACACCAGAGATAGTTTACGAAAAAGGAGTCAGCACACCCGCACCTGTCTCCACTGCTAACCTGATGAGGCCCAGAGCCGGCAGCCTTCTCCCGTGATCTCCCCGTCCACAAACTGGCCTTCGTAATAACTCCCATCTTTAAACAGCAGCTTCCCCTGGCCTGGGGAAAGAAATCACGATGTGAAGTCAGACCAAAGTCGGAGAAACCCCTGCTGCCCATGCGTGGCTGGACTCGTTCCTCTGTGGCAAGAGCTGGGCTTTGAAGCTCTCAGGCCTGTGTTCGGCTCTGCCTCTTGTCCCACGCCTGCTCTCTGCAAACTCACCCACCTACATGTTTCTCGATAAAAACGTTCTTGAAACGTGACTAAGGCCTGCTGTCTCGGCTGGGATGACAGCAGAGCTACCCCAACCTCTTTGGAGGAGACACTCTAGTCACCTGGCCTCCATCAGCACCAGGGCCGGAGGAGACGGGAGTCTGTGGACACAGGGCAGCACTCAAAAAAACATTTAAAAAGGGGGAACCACTCTGTCCAGGCCAGGCTCTGGCAAGGGTGTCAGACATGAGCCTCCCTGCCAGGCCCAGAGGAAGAAAAGCAGAGACTTCAGACAAAAGCAAAAAATGTCTGTATGGCAACAACACAAGGCAAAAGCTTAAAGATAGAGAAAAATACTGGCAGCCAGCGGACAAAAAAAAGAGCTCATATAAGAAAATGCTGAAAGACCAGTTCTCTAGGAGAAAAACAGGCAGAAGACGTGAGCAGGCAGAACATAAGACTGTGTGAGTGTAAACCCGGGAAAGTCTGGGCCCACCCCTGGGGAGGACTCCAGCGACTCACGCTTGGTAGTACTTTCTCTCTTTTAAGGCTGAGACTTTCTACAAAAGTAGGTAATCTCTCTCTTTTAAAAAGTTTCTTTTTTTTTTTGGTTTAAGTTCAACTTAGGTAACGTACACTGTATTATTAGTTACCAGGGTAGAATTTAACGATTCATTAGTTGCATATAACGGCCAGTGCTCATCACATCACGTGCCCTCCTCAATGCCGGTCACCCAGTTACCCCGTCCCCCTGACCCATCTCCCCTCCAGCAATCCTGTTTGTTTCCTGGAGTTCAGCATCTCTTATGGTTTGCCTCCCTGTTTTTCTGTTATTTTATTTTTCCCTCCCTTCCCCTACGTTCATCTGTTTTGTTTCTTAAATTCCATGTATGAGTGAAATCGTACGGTATTTGTTTTTCTCAGACTGACTTTTCCGCTTAGCATGATACCCTCTAGTTCCATCCACATGGTTGCAAGTGGCAAGATTTCATTTTTTTGATGGCTGAGTAGTATTCCATCACATATAGACCTCGTCTTCTGTCCATGCATCTGTGGATGGACATCTGGGCTCTTTCCACAATTTGGCCATTGTGGACATTGCTGCTGTAAGCACTGGGGTGCAGGTGCCCCTGTGGATCATTACGTTTGTATCCTTTGGATAAATACAAAGGTGGGTAATCTCTTACTCATCAAAAATAAACCATAAAGGCAATTTTCACTTTGGCAAAGACAGACTAAGACCCCAGGGAGGATTTCTAAGCTGGGGCCTCCCCTGCCCAGGATGCCCCAGAGCCTGTGAGAAGGCTGCCAGCTGAGCGGTCTCCCGGGCCCCCGGGGTGCCTTGTCTGGTGAGCTCTGAAGATCGCTGCAGGCAACGGCCTTTCCTGGGCACTAGTGAGAGGGAGCGTGGGGACCCAGTGCCGGCCCGGGCTCCCGGAGGAAATGGCTGTCGGTGCAAGGTGGCAGCCGTGGGGACAGGCCACGATTTCTCACCGTGTTTCTTCCCTGCTTTCCATTCTCCTTCGTATCGAAAGAAAGAATTCGGGTACACATAGACGCCGTAACCTGAGTATCGGAAAGAGGAGGGACGGGTGAGCACGCCGTGCCACAGGTGACCCGGCTGACAGCCCACAAGCCCGCGGATGGGGTGGACCTCCGGGCCCCGAGGGGGAGGGTGCGGCCGGCGTGAGCACAGGTCCCCGAGAGGCCGCGGCCTGTGCAGGGGCGCCGGTTGCTGGGTGAGCGGAGGGAGGCGCCGGCCCGGCCCCTCCTCTGCAGGAATTCACCAGCGGCGTCTCGTCCCCTCCGGACAAAATCCACACTCACGCCCGGGGGGCGGCAGGGCTCCCCTCCGCACCAGCCCCGTTTCCACCGGGCGACGTGGGGAGCGTGGGAGTCGCCGGACTCCTGCATCCGCCACAGAAAAGCTCGGGCTCTACCTGAACACGGTTCTTCGGCTCTTCGAGCAGCGCCCGCGCAGCCTCCGAACGGCGCCTCCCGGCTCGCTCCCCAGGAGCCGGCGGGCTCCGCCGCCCCGGGCTCGGAATCCCGCCCGCGGGGGCGCCCCCCTCCCGAGGTCGGGGCGCCGGGGCCTCCCGGGGGCTGCCGGCTGGGCTTGCGGCCGAGAGCGCGCGGCGGCCGCCGGAACCCCGCCTGTCTCCCGGCCGTCCTCCCGCACCGCGCGCGGAGCTCCGGCCGCGGCCTGCAGCCATTACCGTCTCGCGGCGGCCGCCTCGGTGGGTCCCGGAGCGGCGGGCTGGCGCTCGGGCCCTCTCCGCCCGCGGCTGCCATCTTGCCGCTAGGGGTCTCCTTAGCAACCGCAAAGCTCTCCTCCATTGGCCCGTGGGTCAGTCCCTGGGCGATAGCAATCTCTGGAGTGGATCGGGCCGGCCCGGAGCCCGTAGACGCAAGTCCACATGCGCAGCACAGCGCGCTTCCGCCGCCGCCGACGTCCTTTCCGCCGAGGGGACCTCCCGGCCAACCGCCTGGCCACCCCGCACCGGAAGCGGAAATGGTTGGAGGCTCTCGGCTCCTCCCCGGCGGCCATCTTGGAGGCTCCGGAGGCGGTGCCGCACCGGACAGAGCGGAAGTGCTCCGCTGGCCCTTCCCGGACCGTGCGAAGCGCCGGCGCGGCTGCCTGCCCGCGTCCTCCTTCCCGCGGCCCTCGGAGACCGCGCTCGGCCGCAGGGAGCGGCGAGGTGCCGGCGGGCGGCGGGGGTCGGGGCGGGGCGGCGGGCTAGGCCGGGTGGGGGCTGAGGTCGCGGGCCCCGGGCCCCCCGGGGGCGCGCAGGGGCCGCCCCCGCCCGCACTGGCGGGCGCGGCCCGGGAGGGGTTGGCGGCCCACCGCGGCTCGTGCGCTGACGTTCGCTCTTCCTTGTCGGGTGCTCGCTCGGTGCTGTGGCTTGCCTCGGGTTTGGGTAGGAGAGCGTCGAGACGAAGAGTTAGGTTGCCCAAGGTGATCTCTGGAAGCACTGCAAATTACGGTCGCAGGGGCCGAAGTTCTCCAGGCCGACTTCGCGTCCGACGGTGCTCCCGCGGCGGGGATCGCACGGCCCACAGCCGCCCTCGCCGGTGAACCTTCTTCGGGGCTCCGCTCCCTCGTGTCCTCAGAGTAGAGGCGGCTTGGGAGTCCTGCAGTCTCCCCGAAACTCGTTCTCCTCAGTGGGGATGGACTCCCCCGGGACTGAGCAGGGCCCCCGGTGATTGAGACCCAGCTCCTGTAGAGCGCAGGAGGTGACTTCGGCCGGCTGCGCTGTGGTCCGGGCCGGGTGGAGACCCCCAGGAGGGTCATGCCCAGAGGCGGGAGGAGCCCTGGACGGCGAAGGCGGTGTTGCTAGGAATGAGTAGGTGACGGCCGGAAGGGCATTTCAGCGGAGGGAACGGCAGCAGAGGTGGCAGGTGAAACTGCTCTGCCCCGGACCTAGGAGGAACGAGGGGGGAGGAGCGAAGCGAGGGTGATCCGGATGCCTGGCAGAGGCTTGTAATCCTTTAAATGCCGTGCTGGCTATTTGAGTAGTGCGGACACTGGGGCAGGTGGGGCCCCAGGACTAGGCACATGGAGAGTTTTGTGCACAGTTTCAGGCAGGACACTCGCGATCTGTCTTTGGAATGGTTTTATTTTGCTTTTCACTCGTGTGTGTGTGTGTGTGTGCGCGCGCGCGCGCGGGCGCCTGAGCACAAAACAGTTGAATCCGGCAGGTAATTTGCTGATTACCTGCTGTATAACGGGCCTTCTTAGGTGGCAGGGCGCAGCAGTGGCCCAGACAAGGTTCCCCCTGAAGAGGCTTGTATTCTAATAGGAGGAAATAGAGAAATAGAATGAAAATCAGAAAATGACTGTTACGTGAAATAAAAACAGGGTGATGTGACTTAGGGATTGTTGGTGGGGCGGGCCTTTCTGCAGAGGTGGCCTTCAAACTGAGCAGAGGGAAGGGGGTCGGAGACGGGCTGGTGCGAGGCAGGGCCCAGCACATCTGAGAGGCCAGCACGCTCCCTCGGTGCCAGGCTCTGAGGCTCACACAGCTGACTCCCCGAGAGAAGCCTTTGAGGAGGGTGCATTTGCTGTCACCCCGTTTCGCAGATTGGAATGAGGGGTCACTCGGGCCGTCCTGCTAGAAAGTGAGCGAACTGGACTCTAGAAGGAGAATGCTTGACTCCAGAGTTCACTTGCTTCATGTTGCTGTGACAGTCTCCTCGAGACGTGGAGAGTCACGTAACGATGGATATGTTGCTTGTCTGACAATCAGAGGCTGGCTGTCGTGTTTGGAATAATTTCTGCACATTCATCTGAAAGAAGCAGACATCTCTAGCTAGAGTGCATGCTTCCAGGGTTCACCAGGCATGTTCTAATACTGCTTTTCCTACTTCAGTTCAAGTAAAGGGTTTTATGGGTAAGGATTTGGTCGTAAATAAGTAAAAGAAGAGAAAATTTGTGAGGATCCACAGGTTGAGGAGTATTACTGACGTAGCTTTCTGCAGGCCTGGCTTTGGCCTAAACAGGGAAGCAAGCTATCCTAGGGAATGAGTTTTAATTTGAGCCCTCTTAAAATATGGGATTCTCTCACCTGAGTGTAAAAATGCACCTCCTGAAGAGATGGGGCCCTGGGGGCCATAATTCATCGGCTCAGTTCAGTCATTTATCTGTACTTCCTGTGTCTCTCGTGAGGGCACAGAGCATTTCCCCCTCACCTCCTTGACACTCCTGGCCCTCTGCCCATCCTTACGACACTTACGGAATCACAGTTACACCTGTAACGCAGACTTGGTGCTGGGGGGCTAGTCAGGTGGTCTTAATATCTCAGCTGTAATTGAAAGTTTTCCACTTGAGGTCTAGGGTCACATGAGCCTGCTGACTTCATCTCAGAAAGAGGATGTTCTGGGCGCCTGGGTGGCTCAGATGGTTGAGCGTCTGCCTTCGGCTCAGGGCGTGATCCCAGCGTCCTGGGATCGAGTCCTGCATCGGGCTCCCTGCTCAGTGCAGAGCCTGCTTCTCCCTCTCCCTCTGCCATTTTCTCTGCTTGTGCTCTCTGGCTCTATCTCTCTGTCAAATAAATAAATAAAATCTTTAAAAAAAAAAAAAAAGAGGCTGTTCCGAGCGCTCACCGTGAGGATGTGACTGAGAAGCACGGCCTGGGCAGGTGTGGGTTCGGCTTTCGTAGCCGTGTGTGAGCAGGCTGGCCAGTGGGGCCCCTGCAGCCGTTGTGAGCCTCACTGTCCTGTGTGCATGTGAAGGACTGCTGTGTCCGTGAGGGCCATTGGCCAGATGAGGCTGAGGCTATGCTGCCGTACAGCTCAGGGGCCTCGGACACCGGCGTGGAGCCAGAGTCTGTGTCTGCTTCCACGCTCCAACCCTGCCGTGGTGCCCGTTGGGGCAGGTGCTGCGCACACGTTCGGGGGGCAGCGGTGAGCTTTGCCCGGGTGTCTTCACCAGCACCTCAGTCATGTGTTTTGGGTGGCAGTGTGCTCGGATAGAGAGGCTGAGGTCTGGCAGAGCAGCTCCTGACCTTGGGCAAGTGGCTTAAACTATTTGAGGCTCGATGGTCCTTAGTAAGGTAGGAGTGATTAAGCTCACTTGGTTATCTGGGTTCTCATCAGTTCATTCCTCATGGAATCCACAATAGCATGTTGAAATAGGAGCAGATACGATCAATTCCACTTACAGATGACGAACTGGGGCACAGACGGCTCCCTTCGCTGGGAATTGGGTGGCATCTTCCTGTTCGTGGAGCGGAGGACTGGGCCCTGAGAGGACCAGGACTTGCACAGCTGGCTGCTGGTGCCCTGGGGGGCAGCCTGGACAGAGCCTGGGCCTGGAGAGAGGGGTTGCCGGGGGGGGGGGGGGGAAGCCCTAGGAATAGACCGGAGGAGGGAGACCTGGGGGTGCAGTGGCCTGTGGTGTGGACCAGCCCCAGGGAAAGTGTGTCCACAGGACTCCATGGTCAGCAAGGGCAGCTCCTGAGGACCAGCGGGAGGAGTGCGGGCCAGGTGACATTAGCAGAAACAGAAGTCCACCCAGTGCTGCTTTGCATGTCATGCACCATTCTGGCTGTCCACCGGAGTCTCTTGCTTGTTTCTTTTTTTTTTTTTTAAGATTTTATTTATTTATTTTAGAGCACGCACGTGCGGTGAGTTGAGGGCAGAGGGAGAGAGAGAATCTCAAGCAGACTCCCTGCTGAGTGCAGAGCCTGATGTGGGGCTCCATCTCACCACCCTGAGATCATGACCTTAGCCAAAATCACAAGGCGACACTTGACCGACCGAGCCACGCAGGCACCCCTCTTGCTTGTTTCTTTTCCCTGGACAACTCCTGGCAAAGACACCCAGAAAGAAGTAGTGAATACTGAAAAAATTTGCTTGATCGTGTTGGTGGAAATAGGGCAAAGTGATGAGATCCTTGAACATTTTTATTTAAAGTATTTTGTATGTTTCTCAGTTACAGAATGTCCGAAGGTGACAGCGTTGGAGATTCTGTCCATGGGAAGCCTTCTGTGGTGTACAGATTTTTCACAAGACTTGGACAGGTTGGTTTTTTTTTTTTTTTTGGTGGATGAATTGAAGAACTGACTTGAACAGATGAACTGAGTGAGAAACGGTCGACCTTGGGACGTGTGTCTGTGGGGCACCGGTGCGCTAGCTGCTCGCTTTCCCTCTGCTGCGAATGTGCTCGCGTCTTCTGTCCTCTGTAAAGGGCCAAACAGTGTTTAGGCCTTGGAGGCCACCTATGTTCTGCCCTACACTTGTTTTCTGGTTTTTTTCCCCCAACAGCCTTTAAAAAGCTGAAAACCCTTCTTAGCTCCTGGGCGGTGTGGCCTTGGTGGCGGCTGCCGCCGTGTGCTTACTGCCCTCCCTCCGGGCCACCGCCTCCGCGTCCCTGGCCCAGCTCTGCACTGACCTGTGGGTGTACCTGTGTGCTGTGCTGAGGCCTGCTGTAGTCCGCGGGGCCTGAAGCTGCTACGTCCAGACGCTGAGTTCAGTGAACAGTTGTGTATACTGATGTTTTGGCTTAGAATTAAAAATGTATGTTCTTAAAATTAAAAAAGAACATTTGGAAAACTTCATAATTATTCAAGCCAGGCTGTGGGTACTTTTGGTTTTATGAACAGTTGAACTTTTTCATAAATTAAGTTTAAAAATTAAAATTAGTTACAAAATTAATATTAAACAATGCATATGTGTCTGCTAATTATGTGTACTTGCACACAATGCCTGTGCCTGTATGGGTAAGACCAGCGATTCCTTCCGGAAACTCCACCATGCCCTAGCTCCACACCTGCTGGAGGTCAGGCTGTGGTTGACTGTCCTGAGAGCAGAGGCAGGGGCCCCCTGTGGCTGCTGGGCAGGGCTGGGGCCAGCTCTGGGAGGGGCGGGACTCTGAGCGTGAGCCCCATGTAAGGTGCCCACACTCTTCGTGCTCTCTGGGTGAGGTTAGGTGACCTCATAACGACCCCTCAGGCTGATGCTATAGGATTGGCTGCT